ACGGTCTAACTATGAGACCCAAGTCACAAATTTTTCTGGGTAGGTATCTGCAAACAGGAATTGGCTAAACCTTCACAGAAAGTGGTGTTTGGAAACCAGTATCTGGCTATATATATATATATATATATATATATATATATATATATGCCCATTAAGGAATTGTATTTCTGATCAATCAAAATTCATAAATAACTGAATAGGCCACGCTACATGTTTGACACACAGACTCACTCTACACCTTTCTGACCATAGCTCAATTAGATCTCCTTTAAATATTCATGGAGACCTACCAGACACTATTTGTAACATACTTCTTTACAACACAAATATCATCTACATGCAAAAAAAGGATAAAAATAATGGAAGCCTTATTAATAAAAACAAAAAAAAACAACACTTAATAATATCAACTATGAACATGGACACAATATCTTGACTGTGTTTTGAAAAATGAAAACCTTATATGAATATATACATGCAACAAACTATTTCTTATTGAACAGTTAAAATATTTAATCCTTGAAAATGGCTAAATGTATAGCCGAAAGCACTTGGATAAAAAGAACATTTGGACAGTTTTTATATAATTTATCATCTGAAAAGAAAAAATATTAGATCACATGAGAAATTGTATGAAAAACTAAAAAGCACCTTGTCTGTCGTATTCAATGAAATACATACATATATATATATATATATATATATATATATATATAATGTAATAATTATTATTAACACTATTCAGATATTATAATGGCAGATAGAAGTATTGAGATCATCAATTTTGAGGCATTATTTTAAACTGGATTTTTAAAACTGTTAACAGAATTTTAGAAGTGAAAAGAATGTCCAGAAATAGCTAAAATGTTTTAGGGGTGATGGCTTGTGCCTTGAAATAAAGTTTGACTGATACTTTCAGTCACAAGATAAAAAACAACCCAACCAGTAACACGAGAAAAATTTCCAAAGTTTAAACCATTATCAGAAGACAAGTTTAGCATTATATGAGGTTCCAAAATCTAGTTGAACCAAAAACTGAAATAATTGTCAAGCATATGAGCAATGATGAGGTCTTAGATACATTACAAACAAGGAAAAGGCTTATACTTAGCAACAGAAAGAGGCAGCTGAAGTTTCTGGAATGCATAATGTGGAAAAAGGGCCTGGAGAACCTGATACTCTCGGGTCGAATAGAGGGAAAGAGAGACAAGGGAAAGTAGTGTGTGACATACCTGACAAGCTTGAGCAGGTGGATGACGGAATGTGGTCTGGGGGAGGAATCAGAGGGAAGGAGCTTGCTGAGAGCTGCAAGGGATTGAGGGAGGTGGAGAGCCATGATCGCCTACATCCTGAAAGGACATGGCACATAGAAAGATCTATGGATTGTGAAGGAGTTTAGTCTCAGAAAGGAATCACTGTTTTGAATCACTCAGTGAAGATTCTACTTGTTATAATCACAATGAGTTCAGACTGCTAACCATTACTGACCAATAGTTGCACTAATTATATTTCTGTGGCTTACAGCAATATCATGTTGAAACACCAATTCTTATACAACCACCAAAGTTAAGCAACATCAAGACTGGGCATTACTTAGATGGGTGGCTGCTTGGGAATACCAGGTGCTGTAAGCTTGAATATGTGGGTGTTGTAATGAATAACTGATCAGAATTGGAAATCAGTGAGCCGAGTTCCAATTCCAGTCATGTTTGTTATATTCACTTATGCACAAATACCTCTAGGAAAGGTATGAATCCACATCTCCTCCTAGCTATGGGTTAATTAGTAGAATTTGTATCAGTAAACCATTATTATCCCCTGAAAATTCTTAAAATGTAAAAATATTTTTCTGGCTTTAAAGAACCTGCAAATGTTTGATAAGCTGTAAAAAAAAAAAACTAAACAACTCTATCGATCTATTTCTGTATTTTCTCTACTCTCAAACACTGTTAAATTTGTTAAAGTAAATTTTGGTCTGTGCAGTTAATTTGGTATTCCTTTTTAAATAAGAGTAATTGGCCATGGTTAACTGTAATTGGCAGAAATGCATAACAGAATTGACAAAGTTTCCAATAAACAAAAAGAACAGAGCAAAAATAGTAGCAAACAAACAATATATACAAAACAAAAGTAGGCAAAGCAACAGTAATGAGGCAAAAAAGTTTATAAACTAAGGAATGCAAGTGATCACAATGTTCTGACTTCAAGAAAGAACAAGAATATGGCGGATTGGACTGAGAAGTGGTCTACTTTATTGGCTTGGAAAAAATCCTAGCATACAGTCATTGTGATTTGTCTATAAATTTTGGGAGGGGGATGTTTATTGCGGTCATTCCTAACAGGATTGGAACCAACACTTTAAGTTCAGGTTTTTGCAATGTAGCAGGATTTAAACATTGATATTTTTATTTTTTTTATTTTTCCAATATCATCTGAAATTGAAAATATCAGTGTTCATTTCATTCTTCCACACCCCCTGACAAATTTCTTTTTTTGTACTAATGTGTTCACTTTTATTTTACTTTTTATGAAATGTTTTATTTAATCATTAATAAATGGGTACATTTTTTGTTCACATTCTGAAAAACAATCATAAATTGAAATATGAATATTGAGTGCATTTTTTTCCTGAAATATTTTTTTTTTTTTTTTTTTTGTCTCAATTCATTTTAAAAAAAAAAAAAAAAGTCTTACTTTTGCTCTTTCACCTTAAAAAATACATCTAACCTCCATTTTATAAGGAAATGGAGCCAATTAATATGGCACAAAAAAGTAACTCTTGATATTTTTCTTAACTCGCATTTTTAACAATTATTTTTCTCGTATTTATTAAATATATTCATATTTCTTTTCATAAAAATTAATTTTTTTCCAATTACTAGAAATTTAGTTCTTAAAACTTCTTCATGATTTATTTCTAGTGAGGATAATTACCTTTTTGCAACTTCCCAGGGAAAAAAAAAATTAACATTGATACCTTTGAAGGGAGTAAATTCTGTCATGTTTGTTCCTTGACTACATTAAATTTAGCAATTCTCAGTAAAGGTGTTGTTACTCATCCAATATTTAGAAGTCATTGTTAGGCACAAGTGTTTAAAATGAAAGAGACCTCCCCAACCCTCCAAAAAAAAAAAAAAGTGAAGATTATTTTATGATAAATCTCCTATTCTATTAGGTTACTGCAAAATAATCAGCTTTTAAACATTAAAACTTTATAGCAAGACTGACTTGCATAATAAAACCTGACCATATTTTTAACAATAAAATCAATATTAACTAATGTTGGTAAAAAATTTCAGGATAGACTTGCATAACCAATATATAGTATTAGTTTCACTTTCTATACCCTTATTAAAAATACTGATAACTAGTTTTGTACATGTTATGCAAAGTAAGTACAATACAAATTTTTATTTATAAGTAAATTCAAGATATAAGCCAGAGAGAAATACATTTAAATAACATAGTATTTCATATATGGGAATGAATAAATTTCACTAGTTTGAGTTGATAACTTGGCATTGATTTTCATTCATTGATTTTGTTATTTTTTCTGTTTTAACTTTGACCCTTTGCCTGTCCTGCACATCACATATTATGCACAGGTCACATGATTTCCACATTCATGCATCATATATGTTGCACGCATTGATTTTAAGAGAATGGTAAAACTAAGGACACTTAAGAAAAGGGGTCTACTACTGAGCAGTATGTCTGAGAAAAGGCCTAAATCTAATATTTTGTACATCATATATGACCACAGGACACTTTCCTGTTTTCAGATTTATAACTACTGCAAGGTAACTCAGCTTATTTGGCAAATAGAATATGATGATATATCGTGTTTCACATAATACAAACCTGTGCATCACATGTGATGCACAGAGCATATTGTAAATAACTTATGATTTGTATGTTTTTATTATGTGAAACACTATAGATCAGTAAATTCTATTTGCCAAATAAACTGAGTTGCCTTGCAATAGTCATAAATTTGAAAACAAGAATGAACATTTGGATAGTACATACAAAAATGCCCTTGACATGCAAAGGTTAACATTACTTGCAACTGTTTTTATTGTCTATCTTTATGTACTGGACTTTCCTGATGATCATTTATTCAGTTAGCACATTTTGCACCACTTTGGTCGCTACTCCCCCTATTTCTGTTGTAATTGTGATTCAAAGCAAAATAATGCAATAGCTTGCTAGTTCCTTTTCCACTGGGAATCTTGAGGTTACCCACGTCTATCCTCTCGGAGCTTCCTCGCCCACTAGTAAAGCCAGTGACCTCTGAGGCCCAGCTCCTATGCCCAGTCTGGTGACTGACTGATGGCCACTTGGCACAGGTGGGTTGAGGAGAGGCATTCCAACTATCCTCACACAGTTTAGCTTGCAGGTTGATGCTGTTGACCAGGTGTGGACGTTGCAGAACCCATGACATCTTGGAGCTGGGTGTGAGAGTTGGATGTAGGCCGTGAAGCATTGTGGAAATATAATTTTCTGTTATTTAATACTTTACAAAAAAAAAGATATTGTTTGATCTATTTTAAATTATTTTTAACTTTTAGAAAAGTGAATACTTTTAAATTATATGTAGAAAAATGGAAATAAATGTTACCTTTTTATTTATTTTTTTATGATGTCATTAATTATGAACATGGCCACATTGTACTGGACATATTTGAAAATGAAGAATATATCTACTTTCATTAATGTTTATACTATCTACAACAGCACTTAACCATTTATTAGAGTAGTATAATAAAAAATAATCATTGAAAATGGCTAACAATTTAATTCATTTTGAGCAAGAGGGTTGCAATAAAATCAATTATTAGATTTAAAGTGGAAAAATATCAAGTGCTACTTTATGTTTTTCAAAGATATTTTTATTATTTATTATTAATGCTTTATTTTATATTTTTTCATACTTTTTTCACAGTAAAAATAAAATTGTTTTTCCCTATTTTCTTGGTTTTGTTTACCCCCTTCTAAAGGACAAAACTGAAGAAAGTTCTACAGGAGTTCTTAATACAGATCAAGTAAGCATTGCATCTGAAATTTAATTTTGGAATGCTTAAACTCGATCTTCTTTATACCAAGGTTTCCTCTTTTGGCTCTTTTCAAGAACTAGAACCCTTACTAATGAGAATGGACAACCAAATAAGGACCCTTAAGTATCGCACTTAATTACTGCATTTTATCTTAAAAAGCATAATATTTTGATTATTTTTCTTCTTAAATCTCTTTCTTTAACTCTTTCTTTCAAAACCCATACTATGCTTATATAGTGACAAATTATACCTGATAGTGCCATGCATCGATTTACTTAAACTAATATATTCCTTTTCTAAACAAACAAAGCTTACCTGTTCAGTTAAGTAGGAATTCAGATAAAGGTCGAATGTTGGGTTTTAAACCTTTGTCTGAACACATTTTACTCATTTGGAACATAGGTACTTTGTAATTCAGTAGTTGATGATATATTTCAAACTAGTTTTGAGATAAGTTTTGTTTTACTATTTTTCAACTGGATCCTTTCATATTCATGGATGAGCTTTTTGGTGTCATTATTAAAGGAAAGAGAAAATTACTATGTTGATAAATATGCATCAACACGGTAATTTTCTCTTTTCTTTTAATAATGACACCAAAAAGCTCATCCATGAATATGAAAGAATCCAATTGAAAATAAGTAGACAAGACATGTCTCAATGAAAACATGCTGCAAATATATACATATATATATATATATATATATATATATATATATATATATATATATATATATATATATATATTTTTTTTTTAGTTTTTTTTTTTTTTTTTTTTTTAAGTACTTTCAACCTTTTATAAGATCATATTCAGGGTAATTCTAAAATAACTATAACAGAATGTGTTCACATGTGTTTTTAAAAATCACTATCACAACGGAATGCAGATTTTATCAGTTACAGTAGATTTGTCTTTGTAATTTACTCCTGAAGATGATCTTATAAAAGGTTGAAAGTACTTGGGTTTAAAAAAAAAAAAAATAAAATAAACTACAGCGACTTTGAACATTTTATTTATATATATATATATATATATATATATATATAGTCTTTGGACAGCAATTTTTATTTAATCCAGGTTTCGTTAAACAAGACTGGCAAGGTACTTTGTTTATATTTTTTTTTTTATACAAATGTCTTCTTTTCTGGACTTAATGAATGTAAAAATTTGCCCACAAGTTTGTTGGTTCCAAATGCTTTCAGCTTATAATAAAAAAAAACATAAAAATATAACCCTTAATAAGATAATGATCATGGCCACAATATTCTGGTCATATTTGAAAATTAAAAATATATCTACTGTCAGCAACTTTTATACCAACAACACTAGCATTTACACACCATTTCTTATAGTTTAGAAGAGTAGACTTAAGATTTGAAAATTATAGAAGCTTTGAAGAGAGTCTGTCTTACCATATCAGTGTCTAGACTAGTGTTTCTGTCAAAATTCATCTTTAATTAGCCTAATGAAGAAAAAAAAAAAACTGACCATCAGCTATCACAAACATCCAATGCACATCTATCAGTAGTAGTAGTAGTAATTTCTCTACAATGTTTGCCCAAAGAATCTCAAGAGAAGAGGTAGTCAAACTGTCCAATACCTAGCAAACAAAATCAATCACATTATCTACTCGTTTATCAACAAACGGCACTATCCTCCTGATCTATCTGTCATCTAATAATCTTTTGATCAATGTATATTTAATCTTTGCATGTATTACATCATCTAACAAATGTAAATGTATGAAAAAAAAAATGATATATAAATTGTCAAGGCATGCGCTATTTATAAAGTATCTATTTTTTTCCTGAAAGCCATATATTTGCAGTGTTTCCATGTAATAAGAAACATAATAGACATGCTTTTAGAAACATAATCTGACATGCTTTTAGACCTCTCAGCCATGGAGAGCACTTCAGATCTATTGACAGTTTCCCATAATTGACTTTACATGTCAGTCATACAGGCTTTCTTAGTAATGAGATAAAAACATTACTCAACATCTGTTAGCAAGTGGGTTTTGTATTACCATAATAGAATATCTCATTACTAATGAGTGGAGAACAAGCTACTAATACAATGATTTTTATTTTTGTTTCATGCTTGCTTTCTCTGAGTATTTTTGCTTTTAATTATTTAAAAACTAGGCTTATTTCTTTAGTAGAGTTGAGTAGATAAAAATTGCGGATTATTTCTGCTAATAATAAAGGGTGTTCCAATAATTTGGGCCGATTTTAAATGTGAATTAAGTTTAAGCATCTGATGATTTTTTTTTCTTTTTCTTTCAGATTTAACAACTTAAGTCTTTGGCAATTTCAACCATGGAAAGATTAAGAATCAAACGTGTTAGTTATCAAAGCCTATTACAAAAATGGACGTTCAAACAGAAAGTGCATTTCGCACACTTCGCAATTTTTTTGGTCAACATAATTGACCCACTGAGAGTGCAATTGGAAATGATGTAACATTGTTGTGGAGAGGTTCAATTCCTGCGTGCGATGATAAATAGAGGTGTCTGGATTTTCGGACGCATTCTTGTGCACTGCAGCAATGTTTTCAGTTGAACGGCATAGACAAGCACGCAATGGTGTTTTCACATCTGCCACCAACCCAGTTTGTTTGAATTTACAAACAATTTTTCTAATTGCATTCTTGAAATTTTTAACACGCTGTTTGATTGTTAATCTTCCTATGGTTGAAACAACTGCCAAAGACTTAAATTGTTAAATCTGAAAGAAAAAGAAAAAAATCGTTAGGCGCTTAAACTTAGTTTGCATTTAAAATCAATGCAAGTTATTGGAACACCCTTTATAACCAGCGCAATTGCAAAATTACTTAAATAATTAAATCGATATAGAAAATGACTGTTGGTAATGTTTTTTTATACTTGTTTGTTTAATACAAGGCCCAAGGGCCACTATATTAGTTGATCCTGGACTTAGAAACCAAGAAGCATCCGCTCACAAGTTTCTTCCTCAAAGTATTGCTGGGAAAGAAGCTGTCTGAATGGAACTTCCTCCTTATCTAAGGAACACAAAGGGAATGGAAATGGTTTGCTCCTGTGAAAATGACATGGTGGTCCTAGCTTTAAAGATCTGAGCTGGTAAAACTAAGGAATGTAACTCATTTGAATATCAACCATAATAATAGTGATATAGTGAGATGATAGTAATGTTTAGTTTGTGGAATAAGGGTTTGAAAGGTGGAGAATAATTCATCACCCATCAGGCTGTGTAAGCACTTCTGAACTCTATTTGATAAACAGGTTAATTTTTATGTTTTAATTGTTATTATTGCACCTTGAAAACATTGAATTAAGTACACATTGTTAATGCTTTCACTGCTGCATCATTATAGCACTGTTGCCTGGCTGTACTGGCCCATTTCAAAGAAAAATAGGAAACTGCCATTTACTTAAAATAAATGTCTGTAAAAATGCTGATGGTTATTTCTCATAGTTGCTGGCATTTTGATTTTGATCAAATACGATTCAGCTAAATGGCACGACTCCCATTTTAATGTTTGTCAACAGTAATTTGGAAATAGGACTAAGCGCTAATTCATTTATAAAGCAAACACTAGGGACTGACATTTGTTAGTGTCTTATCAACACACACACACACTCACTCCCTCTGTGTGTGTGTATTTCTAAAGGAATGGAATGGATTTTTTATTTATTAATTTGCAAGATTTTTATTACTTAAATATTATTTTTTTAGCAGATATTCATATTTGAGTAGATGTTCCATTTATTTATTAAACAGTATATTTATTTATTTTCATCTACCAGCTTAAATATTTTGAGAAATCTTATTAGAAAAATATGCACTCTCCGGCACGATTTGAACCTGTGTTCCCCTAAGGAAACCGTCATTAGATCTTGCATGCTTTGACCTCTTGGCTATAGAGTGCATTGAGAGATAGAGATTATATATATATATATATATATATATATATATATATATATATATATATATATATATATATATAGAAAGAACAGTAAGATATATAATCCGGTGTTCTTATAGATATTTTTATTTTTACAAAATAGTGCTCAATGTAAATTTACAGACCATTTAATATTATAAATTGATTTAAAATGGTTTTTTTTTTTTTTTTTAAGCTACACAGTTGTAACCATGTTTTCAAAAATGGAAGCTAAAAGCCCGAATTTAATTTTGTAATTAAATTAAAGACATTAGTTCCATTTTATCCTCAAGCGAATTTTGGAGTAACTTTTAAAATTACTGGGTTTTAAAAACCTCCAAAATTCACTTGAGGATGAAATGGAACTAATGTCTTTAATTTAATTACAAAATTAAATTCGGGGCTTTTAGCTTCCATTTTTTGAAACATGGTTAGAACTGTAGCGAAAAAAACATTTTAAATCAATTAATTTATATATATATATATATATATATATATATATATATATATATATATACAGTGGCAGCAGGCAATATAAATTTTTTAAAGATGTAGAAGTACATATCCATAGCAGCAGAAAGAAGTATTAATTGCATATTATAAAGCATTATTTTATTAAGAGAATTGTTTTCTTTTGTCAGGAAGCGAAATACTCGTAAGTGTTGAAGTGCTGAAAAGTTCTCAGTCCAACCAAGAAGCCTGTTCAAGAAAAAAAAAATTGTTTTATCCCTTGGTGGTCAGTTTTTGAGAACAGATTGGCCTGAGAACTTTTTAGCATCTTGTAAAGATTTTTGTTGCCTTTTCCTTCCTATTAAAATTCTGTTTGCAAATCCAAATCATCTTCAAGCGTCATGGTTCCATGCTAATGTTGTTTTAGCCATTTTCAAACTTTCTAACACTGCACACAAAAAGTAACAGTCGAATTATACAGTAGCTGATTGACTTCCACCTTCATTTTTTTTTTTTTTTTTTTACTTTTCTGTTGCTTAAGTTATATTTCATTTGACCATTACTTGATCTTCTTTTTATTATTGCAATATATACTCATGTATAAGTCTACTTTATGTATAGTCTAAACCCTGAATTTTTTTTGTGAAAAACTTGATTTTTTTCATATTGTTTGTGTATAATGCACCCCCCCCCCAAGCTGCTGAACAATACTAGTAAACCTATCATAGTCAAATATTGCAGTACTGGGCATCATCCTAAACATGTTTTTAGCAATGGAAGGCAGGCAGGCTAAAAGAGCCTACCTGTACTGTTAAGGTTAACCAAAGGTACTGTAAGAACATAGGCCCATCGGATAGGTTATAATCACAAAATATTTGCATGAATTTTAACCCTTCCAGAAACTATTAATGTGTGTATAGTGCAACTGATCACCAAAAATGCATCATTTTTATTCTCTTCAAAAAAATTACCTGTGTATAGTGTGACCCCTCCACCCATCTATTTTTTTTTTTTTTACATTAAAAAAAAATGATAATAAAATCTTGCACTATGCTCGAGTATATATGGCATTATTATTATTAAGATTTTTGAAATCACCCTAGCAAGAAATTTCAATATTTTGAGTCTCTGCATCTTTATAATGATGATTGTCATCTTTCAAATACTATGTACCATACAGGTGATACAGAGATAATCCATGATTTTATGGTCTTCCATACCACCCCCAGCTATGGGTTAAATATGATTTGTATCTGGAAAAATCATTATCTCCAAAATATTAATACAATATTTTTTCACACACACACACACACACACACACACAATATTTTTACAATCCAAAATACAGCTTTAAATAAATCACAAATACCCCCCGAAAAAAAAAATAAAACAGTATCTGGAATGAATTTATGCTTAGTGCCATCAATTATACTTGAATCTCTACTCAAGACCTAAACTAATATTGAAATTTTAAAGGATTTCTTGGGTTGGACCAACACTCATCAGAATCTATTAGGATTGTTAATGTTTTTAAATGAAAATGAAAGTGGATAACTCTTTTACTCAGTGGTTTAATTAGATAGTAGTTAGTATTTCAAGTAACCTTTGATAATCTGGAATTAAAAGGGGGGGGTCAGATTTACAGAAATTTTCACTGTATTGTTTCTTTTTTTTTTTTTTTTTTTTTTAAATTTATCTCATCTTTGTCAGTGTAGTACACAGTTTCATTAATTTTTCTGTGCATTGTCGATTTTTTGGTTTTATATCCTTTGAGCACATTCCTCAGTCCTATTTCTAAACTTTTATACACATCTGCCTCAACCACCTTCCAAGCTCTCACTTTCTAGTGGAATATAAACTGAATTAGATTTGTAATAATTTGCTGGTCAACAGCTGCTGCTTCCATCACTGATACTTCTCCAAAAGACTTCCATATCTGCCTGTTTCTTGTTTATCAAATAGAAGAAATAGACAACAAAAAGTATTACATTTTCATTTTACTTTCATGTAACATTTGCAAACCTTTTTTTTTCTCCATACACTCATTTTTTTTTTCTCCATACACTCATTTTTTTTTTCTCCATACACTCATTTTTTTTTTCTCCATACACTCATTTTTTTTTTCTCCATACACTCATTTTTTTTTTCTCCATACACTCATTTTTTTTTTCTCCATACACTCATTTTTTTTCCTCATCTGTCTTTCTTATCTCTAGCATACATACATAAAAAAAATTATAATTTGACTACCTAATTTAAAATGTTAGGTATTAAATCTTTACAAAGTTGTAAAATTCAGAAATCAAATGTCTATTGTCCAGTTCACACTCATCGTTGGTGTTTTGACCAGGTGTGGAGGTTTATCCCTTGTTTCCTGTTTAGGATTGGCTTTCCAGTTAATTCTAAAGTCTATTTCAACTCTATACTTCTGATGTTTCTGCCTGAACTCAAAAATTTTATTCACTATTTATTTTTTATTTATTTTCCTTTAATAAAAATAGATAGGTAGGTTAACCTATCATCCGATTCACACTCCTCTCTGGTTTTTTGAATAGGAGTACAGGCTTATCCTTTATTTTCTGTTTAGGATTGGTTTTCTAAAGTTTTTTTTCATTCCATTTCACTCCAAGTAGCTATTTGCATCTTAGTGTCATTAAGGCCTTGCTCAGGATGATTTGATTAAAAAAAAAAAAAGAAGAAAAAAGGCTAACAAATTTGTAAAATTGAATCGGCTAACGTGAATGGTTAGTCACGTGACTAAACATTCATTACCAAGGGAGATTACTCATCAAATTCATCTAGATTTGGACAAGAGAGCAACCATTTTTATGTGTGCTTTTAATTTAATACTTTTTGTTGCAAAAGCTATTTCAAGATACATAAATTATATAAAAGCATTCTTCCATTTTCTTCTTCCAATGTTTAGAAAATTTTAATGATTAAATTATTTTTTGTTTTAATGGAAACTTTGCATTTTTTTTTTTTTGTTTTGTTTTGTTTTTTTAATTTTTCCTCTACAAAGGATCATTGGTAAGGAGTTCAAAACGTACTATAATATTTTTAAAACTTTGTCAGTTGCCTCCATTTTAATCTCCACAAAAGAAAACTTTCCTAATAAAGAAAAAAATATTCCTTATATCTGATAACCCCAACAATATTTACTCTCTCCCTCTCTTGCCTTGATAATGTCACCCCTAATGTTGTTAAACTCCCAGCATTCTGTTTGTTTACCCCATGAAAAACATTCCCTTTTCTGAGAAGAGGGTGCAAGTGACTGCAAATATATCTGCTTTTTGTTTTGTTTTTTTTTATTATTATTATTTTTTATCTTTATAGTTCTGTCCCCATCTTCTCCTTTCTCTTCTGAGCTGTTGTGTGCGTGTCTTGCTTTTACAAATTTTGTCAACGTGAAAAATGTTTCTTTTGCATTTCAGTCTTCTCAGCCCAGAAAAAAAACAGTAACGGTACTTTTCAACCTGGTTTATATTTAATGAATTTATTTTTTCTTCTTTCTGCACAAAAAAAAAACATCTCTTTAGTCTTCTAATGCAAATGTTTGTTGGCCTTAACATAGATTGCTTTTTCCATATTATTATTATTATTATTATTTAATATAAGGAAAAAAGCTTTCAAACTCATTTATTTAAATTTGTCTCATCTATTCACTATCCATTCTTTATGTGTGTGTGTTTGCTTGCATCTGTTGTTACTAAAACCATTCCAATTCACTGTTGGATTGACTTGTTTCTCATAAAACAATAGATAACATTATTTATTTAAGGATTGCTTTAAAGAACATTTTTCTTGCACACATCTCTTTCCACCACTGTTTCTTGTATTCATGTTTTAAAAAAAGTATGTTAAAAGGAAAACAGAGTATCCCCCCCTGAAAACATCAATACACACATTCTTAAAATCAGCTATAGCTATTACTAGAAAGTCAAGCACTTTTTAGACATAGTATTAAATGATTGAATAATTTGTTTGAATTTCTAGGATGAGGAGATATCATTATTTACAAGCCTAGTCCAGGCAGTGTGTACTTGTACTCAATGGAAACAGAGTGAACAATAATTAAGTAGTACTAAATGAGATATGGACAGTAACACAAGAACAGTCTGTTGCAGACTGGCGAATGTATTTTGAGTGATCAAAAGGATTTTTAGTGTCGTCCACAACAATTAAAGAAAAATATTAGAAACAAATCATGCAAGAAGGTTGAAAGCAAAGACAAACATTAAATGTACGACAATAACATTGGTTTATATACAATTCAAGAATACAATTGAGTTGAACTTTGATGAATAAATGAGAATAGATGTATTTGGTTGCGTAGAATATTATTGTGAATCTTTGAAAGTGTTTGCAATTGCTATTCAGATTTGTTCACAAAATTAAACTGTGTCCAGTTACATACGAAATTGTTCTTTGTGCTAGTTCAGTTATTAGTGTGTGTACATAAGTTTGTTTGTATTATTGTTCAGAATTGGTAGGAATTGTGTACCTTTAGTTGTGTACGAATTTGATTGTTTGTTTACTAATACTTATTAAGTAGTGAGAAAAATGTCACTTTTTAAAGTATCATAAGTGATGTTTGGATACTGTTCCTGAGAGAGATAGTGTGCTTGTGGATTGTTGAGTGAGAGATATTTTGCGCGGCAAAGTCCTGGTTGGTCAGAGTTTTGACTTGTGTGGGTCAGTTTGGCATCTCTCTAGGAATGAAGGTCTGACTGTTTGAAGTGATCAGGAATTTCCTATTTATAGATTTCTGGACAAAAAATATAGGCTCCGGCGGCTTGCGCACAAAAAATATTTTCACGTGAATTTGCTACAGTTCTAAGGCTTTTGACCAATAGGAAACTTTGTTTGCTGAGACTAGAGTTTTGATTGGCTGATAGACATTTTGGTGTGAAGTGTATTACTCTGGAGGGGTGAAAGGTTAGTATGGATTATTCCATCAAGTCTACCTCCATAGATTAAATAAAGGGTTCAGTTCAGAATCTCCTGTAGGTTTCCCAGATTGACATACACCTGATGAAAGCCAGAGAGCACAATTGCCAAAACATTGTGATAACAACAACAAAGATGAGGGCAATAGTCTGTTTATAAATAATCTAAAAGGATTAGATATTGGTTTAAATATGACACGTTCCTCACCATCAAATCAAAGACAGCCTTGTTGAGATTTTGTAGCAAACAGAACTTATGCAGTTAGATAGGCAAAATCCTATTAACTAAAATTTACAGAAAGACATTGTAAACTTATCATTTTAATACAGATTTAATTACTTTCTTTCTAAACTTTACACTTCTGAAAGTGCATAATCAGCTTTCTGGAAAGTTATCAGTCCAACCAAGATACCCTTAAAAAAAAAAACTACTTCTGATATTTGGTCATTTGGTTAGATTTTGGGGAAATGGGCCAAGTTGAAAACTTTTCCGCACTTCATCATAATAATGGTAACAGTGTCTAGCCAGCTTTGAGAAAGTGACAATGGCATATAGCCAGCTTTGTAAAAGTGGTGACGATGCCAGCATCTAACTTGCTTTTTAGAAATATCTATAGCTGATTTTTAAAGTTTTTCTGTGGGGGCACAATCTTACGTTTTCCAGAGTAACTTAAGATCAAATTCAAGGGGATGAAAAAAAAAAAAAAAAAACATTCAGTTATATCAAATGTAAGCATGCTGCCTTTCCTATCTTACTTTTTTTTTTCTTATAACAGTAGTTGTTTATATCTGCTTCTCCTAATTGTGAATTCCATCAATATTCCTTGTTCTGTTTATGCATGTGTGTTTGCTTGCTTTGAATAACTTTTGTCTTTTAACATTTTTATTTATTTTTTACCCCAGTGTGATTTCCCATCTGAATAGTATTATTGATTTATTTATTTATTTTATTTTTTTTTTTTTTTTTTTTGTTAATTCTTTTCCTTGTCTTGTACCTTCAACTTCTTGATCCCATTCCCATGGACCTGTAGCCTTAGTGAGGTTTATTTTTATAATCATTAAAACTTGAAACAGCCAATTAGCAGAATCAGCTAATGTCTTTTATCTCCCGCAGTCAACCTCCAGGAGCTGTAAATGTTGTACTCTCTTTCAGCATTATTTCATTCCAGATTTTCAAAAAAATAACTCCTTATTTATTCAAGAGTTCCAGTTTTAATATATTAGTTTGGCAGTCTACTCAGGCTAGAGCTTTAACTTTTTTTTTTTTTTTTTTTTTTTTTTTTTTTTTTTTTTTTTTTTTTTTTTTTTGTTTAATTCTCCAGGCATCTTCAGGTGGATTTGCCACCCAGCAAACAATTTTATCAAAATTTTGAGTAATAAAAAAAAAAAAAAAAAAAAAATAGCCATAATACAAATTTGATTAAATCACTTCACTTATAATAGCTCATCTTAGAATTTGAATCATTTTACCAAATTTTTTAGTCAAGTAAGTTTTGTTGCACTTTTTTTTATTTTTAAGATGATTTTTTTTTTTTTTTTTTTTTATATTCTCCCTTCCAATTCTACAATATACTTTTCAGATGATCCTCTGATTTTTGTTGCTATTCTCATTAACTTTCTCATTTTTTGCTTCTAACATTTGAAACTAATTCTTTCAACTTTTCAGTTGGTAATTTTTTAGAGCTTTTTTCTTTTTTTTAATATATATGTATAAAATATATGGAAAACTAATTATTTTGGAGAGTTGTTTTAGTGTGTGATTATATATAATAAGATTAAATGATCATTTATTTTGTCTCTACTCTTGAGCTTTGCAGAGGTTACATCCACTCTTCAAGAAACTTGTTAGTAAAATCTATTTTCAGATTCATCTTTTTCAAATAAGTTTGCATCATAAATTAACATCTTTTAAAGAAAATTCAGTGTGTTTTAAGAAAAAATGATTTCTGTAAACTATTTTACTATTAAAGTCTTCTGAAGAATGTATGTAATCTCAAAAATTCTGAGTAGAAATGAGACAAGCAAAGGTTTCATTTTATTACTTATTCTATTGGTATTGTGCTTGCCTCTAAAACTTTATCTTTGAGAAATGCTCTGGTTATTTTTTTTTTAATCCCTCAAAACACAATCTTTGTTATATATAATCTTGATAGTCCTCATGTTTAGATGTGGACATGAAATAGACTTTAAATAACGAAAACAATATTTTTGATATACCATAATACTATTCTGGTATATATTTGAGTGTATTTGTTTACTTAGATTCTGTAATATCAGGAGTACAAATATTTATATTAAAATGATCAAAGCGTAACAATTACTTAAAGGATGATGCATAATTTTAAGGTGACATAAGAGTAAATAAATGCAGCTAACATGTAGTAACTATTAAATTCTTTAAATTATTGATTGATAAAATCTAAATATATTAGCAAATAACCTTAGAAAAAGATGCACCTTTGATAAATATAAAATATGATAATAAAAGAATAACAGATAAAGATGAGTTAAATGAATAAAAAATAAATAAAAATCTAATAACTCTGAAATTGACACAATATGGAATATCTAACATGGTAAGTAAAAAAAAAAAAAATTGAACAGGATTAGTGGTTTATCCCTTGTTTCCTGTTTGGGATTGTGTTTCAGTTCCTTCTAAAGTCTTCTCCTCTCTTTCACTCCCAGTAGCCCCTTGCATCTTAGTGGTGTTATTGCTTTGCTTGAGGTGAACTGATTAAAAAAAAAAATATATATATATATATATATATATATATATATATATATATATATATATATATATATAAAGGATACTTGATTTTATCATTAATAAAAGCTATCTAAACATTCATATTTGATTGATCACTACAGAGTTATTTTTTATTATATTTAAAAATACAGGATTAAACCTCAAAATAATGGGTTGATGGTCTAAAGTAAAGTTACTAAAGTCCTTTTCTGTGGTATGGTGGGGGAGTAATTTTAATATTAACTAAATCTTATGATGGCAAATGAATTTCTTGAACAAAACATTATTCAACTCCAGAAAACTTAATTGGTTCTGATATTTTCTATTGTCAAAAAATATAAAAAATATATATATATATATATATATATATATATATATATAGTGGGTGTGTTTTGTTGAAAACATAATGTTATCTTTCATGGAGTAAAATTTGATAAAAATTCCCTTCATCTCTGTACAAATTAGAATTTTCAAATTTTTTTTTTGTTTTTTAATCTTTGATAGTATCAAGTTACAATTTTGAAGGTCATCGTAAACAAATACTAAAAACAAGGATGTGTTTTCGCACCAGGTTTATTCAACCTATGTAGTTAGACAATCCTAAGAGACCGCGAAGTCCTATCAGGATTTATTATTGGCAGACATAATCTTAACAAAAGATACACATATGACACTGTATTTGATAGCAGGCTCAGAAAGGAAACTCAAACAATGTTTAGATAAGATAGTCCTTTCTTCTTACTTTCCATTACTATTGTCAAAAGACAAAATACAGTCATCAGCAAAAGAAACAGCCCAGCAGGTATAGAAATTTAACTATCTGGGTGAAATAGTAACAGCCAATAGAGAATGTGACACATAAGAATAATGATGTCTTCCAGAAACTAAGCAAAATATTAAGACTTAGAAACAGGGTTAGTGCAAAGGTTTAGTATCCCCCCTACATTCATGATATGCTCCCCCACCCCCACCATATATGATATAGTGCTCCCCACTTTACTGTATCTCAATTGTCATAAGGTGGCATTCATATAAAATCATCTCGGTTGTTATAGCAATTTTCCACGCATAGCTTAGATGTAGCACAAGACCAAAAGTAGGTGGCACCCAGTGAGGATCAAACTCACTACTCAGTTGTAATTGTTCTCATGAGATAATCTTGCTAACCATTACACCACCTCGAGGTGCTCCCATCTCGGATGTTATATAGTAATATACATGTAAAAGGTCAGAAATTACTTAAAGCAGCAGATCTGGTGAACCATGATTGGCCAAATCTATGAATACATATTTTTACCTATTTTACCTATTAACTATAGCTGGAGAATCTGTTCTATATGTGACTGTAACTATAATAATTGGAAATATTTTAAATTTAAGATATTTTAATTGATTGTACCATACTATCAGCATGATAAAATTGTAGACACAAACTATAACATTTTTTTATTGAATGTTAGTACATTTCAAGACTACCTTTCATCAGCCAAAGATGTAAATTGATCTAATAAAAAGTATGATACAAACTTGTAACAGACAATAATTCACAATTCTTAGAAAATTAAGAAAAACAAAAAGCGTTTTTTTTTTTTGTTTTGTTTTGGTTTTTTAATAATTCTACAAGATTATTTCTATGTCAAGAAGTCTACAGTTATTTATATTGAACTATAGTTGTATGTGACTGGCAGAAATGTTTGTCGTTTACAGCTTAGCCATAGAATTGTAATGAAACAGAACCTCCTGTTATCTGCAATTAATGGATTAGTGTGTCCGGGCAAATTCTTATAAATGAAAGATGAACCGAAGCTCATGCATAAGGTGAAGAAGTTCTCAGCACACCCAAGAATCTCTTTACACCAAAATTTTGGAAGTGAGCTGGGCAAGGATCTTTTCAGCTCCCTCTCCTTGTGTGTGTATAAAAAAAAAATGTACATTTCTATAGTATTTAAGACCTGTGTCAAAAAGTATTATTTGACAGGTTTTGATATAAAGTATTCTTTCCTTAATTATTTGTGTGTGTATATATATATATATATATATATATATATATACACACACACAGTTAAAATTAAATCTGCCAATATTAAATCCTAGTAGATGTAGTTCTCTTAGAACCTTCAAGTTACTTTTATAAAATAAACACTTTATCCCATTAACTGTGGGTTACTGTAGTTTCTGTACTTGAACTCCTATGGTTCAATTATGAATAACAGAAATTTTTGCCCTAGTTAACCTTTTTGTAGTAAAAAGTTAGTGCTATATTAAAGACAATACAGGAAGTCATTCTGTTATCAGAATAATCTCTAAATTTATTTTCTTCCTGGTGCATATTTTTCTCTGACAATTATTTTTGTCTATTAATGTTATCTCAAAGTTTTCTCTTAATGCCATATCCTTTCAGGGCATAGGCATTCATAGCTCTCTACAGATGCCTTTTTTTTTTATCTGTGGATGCCATCTTGGAAAAGATAATGGAATCATTTCCTTTTGCCTTCTCCATAGTTTTCAATGCAGAATTGGTCTTTTCTTAGACTGGCTACTGCCCAAGTCTAGAAAATCCAAACTACTCTGCTATTTAACCTGTAGCTGATGGAAGAAAATGGATTCATACCCTTTTTTCCAAGGGCATATGTGCAAAGTGAACACAACTGACTTGGCTGAAATTTGATCTCAGTTTCATTTCCACTTTCTGTGTCAATATCTATTATGCTCTCTGCATATAGCCATTGTTAAAATTTCAAGTTAGGACAAATAAATTATAACCTACAAAAAAATACATTTAAAAAAAAAAAATTTTTTTTTTTTCTTTCTTTCATTTTATTTGTTGCTTCTCCTTGCTAGAACCAAGACACAGCCAGCATCGGACCTGATACCCAAGAAAACAATTCAAATCCACCAACGCCATCAGAGAACCCGCCTTCTGCTAACTCAACCTGGAATAACTGGCCCAACACTCCCAACTTACAGAATTCTGATATGCCTCGACCACACACAATTTCCTCTGCCTATGAGAAGACACATCAACGCCCTGCCCTCACGGAACAGATGTTTGTACCCCCTTCCTCATCCAGAGACATGCTGGACCAAATTGTGCAATCCAACGATCCCAGCCAACCTCACCCACAAGCCTCACAGTATGGCCACATCCGGATGGAACGGCCTAAGAGTGCAGCATTGAGTGGTGGAGCAACTTCCCCTTACTCTCGACCCACTTCAGCTACTATCAACAAGATGCAACCTGTTTTGCCCCCCCTTGGCCCTAAACCAAAAAGCAGTAAAGCTGTTCCGCCACCAACAGTTCCAGGTTTGTTATTTTTGTATTTTTTCTTTAATTTTCTTCATTTTGATGTCTTTAGAAATTTTTTTTTTTTTTTTTTTTTCCCCCCATTGTTGTATTAACATGAATTATTTATTTATTTTTTTTTTTTTGCATCAATTTACAGTGTCATGACTAATCTCAGTTTTTATTTGTAGATTTATATTTTAAAACAAAAATTAATTGCTACCAAGAATTTTTTTTTTTTTTTTTTTTTTTTTCAGTGTTAAAAATTTTTTTTTATATATTTCTGAGATACGGTATTGTAATTACTTGCACTATTTACATTGTTCAGACTGTTGTCCTCATCTTTGTTGCCATACTCACAATGTTTCAGCCATTGTATGCTCCAGCCTTCTTTAAGTTTGAAATTTCAATCACCTGAAGAAGGCCAGTGCGCATAACTTCGTAAAACATTGTCATCTTCATCTTTGTTGCTATATTCACAATGTAAATAGTGTAAATAATTAAAAATGTTTTTTTTTTTTTTTTATTAAAGAAATTGTTAATATTCAAATTCTACAAATTTCTCCTAATTGTTATCTTTGCAAATGGTTGATCTTATTCGACTGCTTCAAAAATTTGTTTATATTCTTCTGCCATCCTCTTTTGTACTTATCCAAAATTTAATTGAAGAAATATGATACCAAACAAAATCACTTAATTCAACACTGAAGTGATTGAATTGAATTTTGCCTGTTAAATTAGCTTTCATTGATCTTTCTGTTTGTCTCTATTCATTTTTGGGAAATACAAAACAATTATTTCCATATTTTGAAATTGCATACTAATCAAATCTGATTTAACAATATGAACAGGTTAAATGTTATTTCGTTTTTCTTTTTTTACATTCCTTATTGAAATTGTTCAAGATATTAAATGTTTATTCTTTGTGTATGATTTTTTTTATTAATAGTGGGAGTGGACTTTGGATATTTCTATTAAAGCTCTGTATATTGCTTTCTCTTCACTTACATAAAACTTGGTCTCACTGAATCAATTGTTTTCTTATTTGATTGGATTTTAAGGGACAAATTTGTATTGTACACTATTTTTTTTAATCTTTTATAATTACACAAAAAATTGGATTTTGACTTGTAAAATACAGAATAATTTAAAATATTGATTTGAAAATATTTTAAAATTCCTTTTCAAAAAAAAAAAAATAGGGGGTTTACCCACAATGATACATATATCTTAGAAAAATGTTCAAGTTTTGAATAGTGGGAATTTAATCCATTATACCTGACAAACTATACATTAGGAAATCTATTAAATCTACTTTTTATATTTTCATTAGTATTTCTTTCATTTCAGTTTTCTTTTTTTTTTTTATCAAAACTAAAAAAACTACTGACATTAAGATGAGATATACAAGCGAAAAATCATATTTTTGCTTGTATAGTTAGTAAGCTGGTTGGCAGACATATTACACTCTGTCATTGCCTCAGATAAATAATGGACCATTGTATTCTGATTGCAAGGAAAGACAAGAAAGATATCAGAGAGGCTGGTTGGTTTTAGTGAGAAAAAGAAAGTTAAATGGAAAACCTTGTCAGTTTTTAATCTTTTCATTTGTATCCTCTTACTATTTCAAATAATGACCTGCATTCATGATTATGATTGTTATTGCAATATTTTGTTGAAGTTGTTTAGCTCAAATATTTAACAATGTAACGGGAATTTCCACAAGCATTTTATAGTCAGGGAACTCGTCATGAGTTTATTCAATCATTAAATTAAGAATTGATTCATCAAAAAATTCAAATAGGAAAACTGAAATTTACATAAGTACTGCTTGTTGATAATGACTAATGATTCATCTAAAAAAAAAAAAATGAACAGACGTGGCTTTTCTACCACATTTGAATAGACGTAGCTATAAGTTGGGATGGCACATTTTACCCACCAACATTGGGGTACTTTTTTTTTTTTTTTTTTTTTTTTTTTTTTTTTTTTTTTTTCAGCACTGTTTTATGGCCATCCGCCATTTTTTTTATTATTTTTAAACTGTTACATTGTCAGTCATCAACTAATAATATACATTATGTATCTGCATGGCCGGTGTGGTGCATACTATGCAGGAATCCCCTCCAAAAAAAGTTTGAGCTTCAAAAAGGCTAGATTTACCAGCATTTCTTTGCTTTTTGTACTTTTTACATTTTTTCTACCTAAGTTATATTGTCAATCATCAATTATAATAATCAAAAAGGCCAGTGCTTACTACCCCAAACCTCTCAACTGCGTGCCCCCACCAATACCTACTGGGGAAGTGGAGCAGAAGTGTTAATTTCAGTAGCGCTTATTTTTTTAAATTGTAATTTTCTTTCTGAACAGTTCATTTAAACCAATGAAGAGGATAATATATCTCGGTAAAATCATTTTTTATTCCAAGATCATCCACTAAAGAGGATCTCTGTTTTTTTTTTGTTTTTTTTTTTTTATTAATAGTAATACTAACCAGAAGTCCACAGCTAGTAATTAAAATAAATTTTATATTCCCTATATTTTACATTTTTAGATAGATAAAACCAAGAAAATGATCACTTAAAAAATAAAAATGTTCAACACCTGAAATACTGTTTTTAAAACAAATTTTTAAGACAATCCTGTTCGTGCTATGTTGTAATCTTTGTAAAACTTTTTGTCAGTGGAGATGTCACAATTAATTTTTATAGAAATGTAAAAATTTGCAACTTTTTCTTTTTTTTTTTTTTTTCCTTTTTTTTTTTTTTTTTTTTTCTTTCAATTTAGTCATGAAAATATTGGTGGTTATTACAGAATGAATGGCATTTTCTCAGATTTTTTTTTTTAAAATAAAAAACCTATTCATTATAAAAGTAAATAATTAATGAATATGTACTGCAATTTTCATTTAAATTGGATAATTCCCCGATTTTTGGTAATTTAAAAAGTGCTGTCCTTCCTCCACCCCAATTTTCCTTTGAGGTTTTGTGACTCCTAGGTTGGGGAACTTTGAAATCATTTGGTGGTCGTATCAAAGTTTCGGTCAGCTCTGGTTATAATTGAGAGAATTCATAGATCCTCCTGATGGATGAGGTCACAATTTCCTCCACCCATTCACATCTTGTTGGTGACCATTTGCTCTGAATGCTCATCATTTTCAACTGACACTTGACATGCCTTAAAACATACCAACTATTCAAAATCCTGGATTCAGCCTAAAGGATATTTGCCAAAAGCTTGACAAAGCATTTCAAGAAGTCTCTGTAATAGATTTGTCAAACTTCATGCAAAATTTGGTGCAGGCACCTTGCTTGAATTTGTCAGCTATTGTAAAGATTGCAGAGCTGTTCCAACATAATGTTACAAAACCTTACATAAGTGAACATGGGAAGATAGCATGATACTGTTTGGCAGACTGATTCAGTTGGCTGGGGATCAATTAATGCTTGCTGCACACTATTTTTTTCTTTTTTTTTTTTTTTTTTTAAAATAGTACACTTATAGTGCACATAGTTGAGAAACTTTCCACACATGCACCCCACAAGGTACTGAAAAATTCTCAGCCCAACCAAGAAAAGCAGTCATTTTATTCATGACTTGTCAGATAAAAAAAAAAAATCTCTATTCTTCAATCATTAGCATTCTGATATCAGCTACAGGGTGCAGCAGAAATACCTCCCACATTTTAAAGGTTGACAAAAAGACTTGAAAACTGACATGAAATGTAAATTATTTTGTTTAATTGATACTTTGTCTTTGTGCTACAGTTGATTAAATAAATTAATATTTTCAGATCAACAAGAAAAAAAAAAACAGTTGGTATCCTTGATGAAGGATACTTTTATCACCCTAACCTCAGCTCCTAAATATACAAAATTATGACCCATGTGTCTAAAAACCTCTATGCATGAAGAAAAAATTTTTGTCAGGCAGTGTTTCTTGGTTTTTTTTTTTTTGGTTTTTTTTCCAATTTTTTTTTTTTTGTATATGCATACTCAATTAGAAAAATAAGACAACTGTGTATGAGCTGATTAACCCCTTTCAAGGGATTTTTTTTCTCAAAATCATGTCAAATTTTGTTTTTATTATTACAATTTACAATATGCCTATGCAGATTCTTTTTGTGTGACTTTAAAACATCAAGCAGAAAATAACACCCTTGGAGTTGTCCCAGGGATGTCTCACTTTGCCACCAGCTAAAGGCATGTTACCTTGGTGTGGCAGCTGATGGCCTGGTTAAGCAAGCATGCTATGGGGGTCTGTCACTAATGCCATCCAAGTCGGATTTGCTTTTGTGGATGGAATTGGCATTGGCTTTATAGTCAGTGAGTGGCTCAGAAACAGCCACTGTGAAAGTTGCATGGGCCTTTTTTGGGTTGGCCAGAAAAGATGTTTTATGGCCCTAGTATTTTAGGGTAGTATTCTGGAAGTGTGTGCGCTGAGTGGGACAAAATTAAAGTTTGTTTTTGTCATATGAGCTGTAGATGTCGAAGTGAGCACTTTTTTTGAGTTAAAGAATTAGAGTTTTGGCAGGGTACAACATGTGTTTTTGAGAGATAATAAGCCCTAATGTAAAACAAAGGGAATTGTATTCACCTCACTGTTTAAATAACAATAATTTTCATATTTAAGTTGGGCATTACTTATTAAAGCTCTGAACAAACAGGTTATTTGTCAGTTTATCCCGATGAATTATTTCAAATAGAAAAACATGGACATGTGCTGTTTTATTTTTTTTATTATTATTATTATTCAAGAATATCACTTTGTAAGTGAAAGTTAAATATAGACGGTTCTTTATACTTATCTACACTAACTATTCTGCTTTGATTTTCTAATACTTATTTTTCAAATAGATTTTATCTTCTGGAAGTGTGTCCCACTATCATGGCTTCTTCAAAATTGCTAACATGCCAACATTGCATTTTGGGATACCCTTATAGCACACCAGAGTTTTTTTTTTTTTTTTATCTCTTTAATCCATATCCAGCTGGTTTCATTTTACTCCAAGTAATGGTCAA